CCCAGGTGGTGCTAGTGGTAAAGAACCCGCCTGCCAGTGCAGGAGATCTGGGTTCGATCCCTGGGTTGGGAAGGTCCCCTGGAGAAGGGCATGGCAACCCACTCCAGTATTCTTGCCTGGAGAATCCCAGGGACAGGGGAGCCTGGCGGGCTGTAGTCCATGGGGATACAAAGAGTCGGACACAACTGAAGCCACTTAGCACACATGCACACATATACACACACTGTCCTGAACCTTGCTTTTTCCACTTAAATACTTGGTGCTGACCACCCATTAGTACATGCAGCACCGCCTCAGCTGTTCTCCAGCAGCACAGACCCACTGAACCTTGGTGTACTGACCCCTTCTGCTGATGGACATTTAGTTGTTTCCAGTCATTAAGGTCATCAATAGCCTAGTGTTTGCCCATCTCCCACATGTGTGGGAGCATCTTAGGATGGGTTCCCAGAAGTTGGAATGCTGGGTTTAAGGATTAGTGCATGGGCAGCTTGGATAAGGATCGCCAAGGGTGGATTGTCAAGGATGGGTGGGTCGGTGGCTTCAGCATCCTGCTCCTTGTTTCTCCAGGGTGATGCTCACAGGGACGCTATCCGACCGGCAGCCAGCTGAACTCCATCTCTTCCGGAATTACGAGGCTCCAGAGTGTGTTCGGGAGCCTCGATTCAGCCAGAACATTAACCTCAAGCCTCCAACGCATCCCTCAGGTGAAAACCATGTTTGATGCATCTGTGGGAAATGATTGGCCTCAGAGGCTGTGGGGTGGTGGGTGGGAGTTGCAGCCTGGCTGCCAGGCACCCCCAGCCCACCACTGTCCTGCCCATTGCCCTGGTTTGCCTTCCTGAGTGTATCAGCTGAGGGCAGGCAGAGCTGGGGAGCCATCAGGCTTCAGGCAGCCTGCACCCCACCTTCCACCAAGCATGGCCCGTCCATCCTGTTTCTAGAGTCCCCAGCCTCTCCATCTTCACACAGCATCATGTGTACATACACACAAACACACACACACCCTGAGATCTGAAATGCAACATCTCTTGTGACACTGAACCCCCTCCTCCCCCACCCCCAGAGCAGCTGGTGTGGCGGGCAGCCCGGAGCAGTGGGGCAGCCCCTACCTACTTCCGACCCAACGGGCGCTTCCTGGACGGTGGGCTGCTGGCCAACAACCCCACTCTGGACGCCATGACCGAGATCCATGAGTACAACCAGGACTTGATCCGTAAGGTGAGAGCCACCGCAGGTTGGGGGAGCTGGATGTGACCGCCCTTGGCAGTTTGTTTCTGCAAATCTTACTAAGGACTGACTCCTGGGAGAGCAAGTATCTTTTATTCATGCGATCATTCTTCCGTGCCCTTGATGGCAATTTTATCTCACTCTTGAACTTGCTTGGTGTCTGCCCAAAGCACTGTGCTAAGAGGGATTCTGACCAGTCCAGACCAGGTGGTGAAGGGTGTTAATGATCAGTTAACAGCATCTGCTGTTTGTGGGGTGGACAGCATGCAGACTGGTCTGTCCGTCACAGGCCTAGCCACACTGCCCACCCTGGAGACACATGCTTGCCCTTGGGGCACTCATATTTAGGGAAGACAGTCCCTAAACAAGCACACGTCCATCCAAGTGTTTCAGATGCTTGTGACAGAGAATGGTGCAGGGCCCAGGAGCATCCCCCACCACCAGAGGCCTGGGGGCTCAGAAAGGTCTCGCGGAGGAAGAAAGCCCATCCCAAGGCCTTTGGGGAGGGGACAGTGCAGAGTCAGTGATCCGGAGGAAAAGAAGCGGCCCTGAGCCCAAGGAGCCTAGTGCAGAGGCGGGCAAGGCCCAAGCATGTTAGGAGAGGCAGTGTGGGGCCTGGCTCTGCCCATGCTTCACTTCAGCCTCTGCCTGGGGCTGCTGATAGAACCTGCCTGGGGGCTGTTGTGAGGCTTCCACGGGCTTTTATCTGCAAAGGGTTTAGGACAGTGCCTGAGTGTCCTATATCCCTACTGGCTGTGGTTGTCACTGCCTCCAGCACCAAGCCCCCGAGGCAGCCACAAGGTGCAGAGAGACGAGTGCCCTCTAGAGGCCAGATGAAGAAGGGCAGGGAGAGAGGGATTCACTGAGAGACTGTGAGATGGGGAAGGGTCCTCAGACGTCACCTGTCTTAGTGAATGAGGAGCCTGGGTAGGTGGGTCACCAAGGTCGCCCAGAAGATTGGCAGCAGAACTTGTTCCGAAACAAAGGAGAAGCAAAGCAAAGGAGAAGCTGTGCTTCTGCCATCAGAGTTCTCTCCCCCATCCTCTACCCCTGGGTGTCCCCATCCGTGGAAAGGTCCACCAAGGGGAAGGCCTGCTCTGACCTGTCCTGCTCCCACAGGGTCAGGACAACAAGGTGAAGAAGCTGTCCCTTGTCGTCTCCTTGGGGACAGGGAGGTCCCCGCAGGTGCCTGTGACCTGTGTGGACGTCTTCCGACCCAGCAACCCCTGGGAACTGGCCAAGACTGTGTTTGGGGCCAAGGAGCTGGGCAGGATGGTGGTGGACTGTGTGAGTATGGCCTCTCCCCAGCCCACTCCCCTCGGGGTCTCAGCCCCAGGGTGAGGCTTCCAGGGGGAACCCTGGGTGTTGGGGAGATGGCAGGGCTCTGTGGACCCTCCTTAGCCAGCTCAGAGGAGGGGGGGTCCCCAGTACAGAGTCTCAGTGCTGGCAGGACCCTTGGTGACCACCTACAGTGGGGTATTCAGTTATTGTTTAGCTGAGGATTCTTTCCTTCATGCATGGCCCATGTGGAAGCCCAAAATGTCAGATGGACAAAGGCTGAGGGGGCCGGGAGATGGAGACCTGTCCACTCAGCCCTTCCATGCTCACCGACCCTAGACCCTGCCGAGCCACCTGTCCCGGCCACAGCCCGTGCCCCTCTGATTGCGTAGCTGGGACAGGCTACATAGCACAGAGTAGGGGGATTTGTCCAAAGTCACCCTGCTGATGGGGAGCTAAGCCACCCTGGGACCTGCGGAGCCTGGACAGGGGCTGTGGGTACCATGTGGGCTGAACACTCACAGGGGCCTCTTCTCACCAGTGCACGGATCCAGATGGGCGGGCCGTGGACCGGGCCCGGGCCTGGTGCGAGATGGTCGGCATCCAGTACTTCAGGTGAGGGCTCGGCCGGCCCCAGCCCCCAGGCCCCAGGCTGGACTGTCCCTTTCCCCGAGGGGCCGCTATGTGTCCTAAGCCCACCCCAGTCCTAGCTCTCGTCCCCTGACCCGGGCCAAGTGTCCTGGGGTCATGACCCCTCCTCCTTTCCCCGGACAGATTGAACCCCCAGCTGGGGACGGACATCATGCTAGACGAGGTCAACGACACGGTGCTGGTCAACGCCCTCTGGGAGACTGAGGTCTACATCTACGAGCATCGGGAGCAGTTCCAGAAGCTCGTCCAGCTGCTGCTCTCGCCGTGAGGCTGCCAGGCCCCCAAATCCCCCTTCCAGCCCCCCCCCCACCATGCCGCCGCTGGGCAGAGCGGGGCCCAGGCTGCTCTGGGTCCACAGGCCGGCCCGGGGGAGCCGGGCTTCTGGCCCGAGGCTGGTCCTAAGGCCTCTCTCCGCCTCGGTCCTTACCTCCTGGCATCTTGTGTCACTCCAGGCGTAGAAAGCCTCGAGCCTCACTCCGGCCACTCCCTGACCGCCAAGGATGACCCCGGGCCCCTTGCCCTGGCGGCTCAAACACTAAGGGTGCCAGGGCTGGTGCCCAGCTCTGGCCTCCGCAAGGGCCCCAGGCTCCTCCTGGCCCCTGGGGCTGCAGTGACCTCTTCCACCCTTGGCCCTCTCAGCTGGGGTGAGGCTCGAGAAGCGGGCCGTCACCGCCCCTTCAGGAGGGAGCTCCGGAGTGGGGTGTCCCATTCGACTTTGCCCCTCTGCACACCCCAGCCATCCTCCCGCTCAGAGACACCCCACCCACGAGCTCTCCGCTGCTCTCAAAGGTCACTCCTGTGACTTCAGTTATTCCTCCCGCCTGGAAGTGGTTTATGTGTAGAGCGGGCTCCGGGAGACTGCCCCTAACCGTGAAATAAACAGTTTGATTCCCGTTGGCCTGTGTTGTGTGTGTGAGTGGTGTGAGTGCCCCCCACCCACCAGCCCCCCTCAGCCTTGACCGTCATCTGCCTGGGTCCATGCCGGACAGACGGAAGCTCTGTTTCCCAGGCTCCCCAGGGCGGGAACACCTCTTCCCTTTAAGTCTCCCCCAAACCGGCCTGAAGGGTGTCCAGAGGCAGCAGCCAGGCCCACCTGGCCCACAGTGGAAGGCACGGGAGAGCCCCACTTGTTGGAAGAGGGGATGAGACCCAGAGAGGGCAAGGGGCTCGGGCACCGTCACACAGCGAGTGAGCAGCTGTGCCCTCAGGTCGGTGTGACTCCGGGGTTTGTGCCTCCCCGTCTCCAGCATGTGGAGGAAGCGGGGTGCGTACGGCAGCAGAGGTGGGAGCCTCAGTCCTTGGGGTGCAAGTCTGAGGGGCTCGGGGAAGAGAAGGGGCTGAGAACAGTGACGAGATGTGGGTGTGTTCCACCCGCAGGGAAGGGCTGTCAGGGAGGGTCCGGGGTGGTCACTGCACAGCTTGAGCCCAATAGGGTGAGCACTGCCCAGTGTAGGCAGATGGGAGGGCGGGGGGCCCCCCATGACCAGGGATCCCTGCAGGCCCACGCAAGGCTCTTCCTGGAGGCGGTGACCTGGGAGACTGACTATCCACGCGTGCCCACTGGTCCGCGGCTCAGGGGTAAATAATTGAAGGGCAGGTCACATGAACCCACCCGCGTCACAGGATGCCTTCCCCGCCGGGTCTGGTTACACCCCAGATCGCATTCTGACATCCCTGGCTGGTGAATAATTAAGCTGTCACCTCCTCCTTGGCCAGCCCTCCCTCGCTGGGTCCCGCTCTGCTGCTTCCTTCACTGCCCGCCGAGCAGTGGCCCTCGGAGGGTGCCGACCCCCAGTGCTCCCAGCCCTGCCAACACCTGCTCAGTGCCCGGGCACACCCGCTTCATGGCCCCCGAGATGGACCAGTTCTACAGATCCACCATGGCCATCTACAAGGTGAGTGTGTGGGCCGGGCCCCCTCCCAGGGCTCGAAGTTCAGCCTGCTCTGGAAGACAGAGGGTGAGCAGGGTGGCAGCTTGTTCTGGGAAAGAAGGCCCAGAACCAGCCTGGGCTGAGCTGTGGGCCTGGGGGTGGGGTCCCTTGGGGGCAGTTGGCCCTCCAGCCCCAACCTGAGCCTCCCAGAGCAGAGGTTCATCCCATGAGTGACAGGCCTGCTGAGATAGCACTCAACTGGAGCCCCCAATTCCCAAACACTGAATGCAGCAAGACAGGACCCAGGGTGGCCTTAGCTGGGAGCAGGGGACCCAGAGAGCCACCTGGACCCCCAGGGTGGAGGAGTCTCTCTGTCCCTTTCTGTCTGGGTCTCCCTATCTGTGCCTCTCTGTCTCTCTGGTTTCCGAGCCCCACACTCAAACTTCCTACCCAACTCCAGAGGGGTTGCTGCGGTCTCCATAGACATTTATTGAGCACCTCTGGTGTATAGGACCCTTACAACCTGTAAACCTCACAAGACACCACCTGTGGAGTAGAAAATAATCACTCCATTTGACAGATAAGAAAAATGAGGCCAGAGAGGTGAAACACCTTGCTCAAAGACATCAAGGGAGGAAGAGGGCCTGCTGGGATTTGAATCAAGACCCAGGTCTTAAGTCCATCACCCAGGGTGCTCTCCACTGGCCGTGTGGCGGCCCACGTGACCCCGCTGTAGCCTGGCTCCTGAGGGGCCCTTCTCTGAGCTGGGCAAGCTCTGCCCCTGCCCCAGAGGGCGGTCAGCAGCCCACAGGTCCTGAACTCAGGGCAGCTTGAGTCGTGCCCAGCTGGGCGCTGTGACAGACCGTAGGCTTCAGCCCAGTGGGAGGAGAACCTTCTAGGCGCAAGTGCCCACTGGCCAGGTGGTGAGCAGGAGATGGCCAAAGGGACGCTGGCCTGGATCTTGGCCTCTGAGGCCCTTGCAGCCAAAAGCCAGGATTCTGGGTGACTTCAGGGTTCTAAGCGGGCTCGCCCAAGTCAGGCTTCACTGGGGCTGGGGGGGACACCCTGATCCTGAGGCCCATCCTTCATTCGGTCTTCTGCTCCCCGCCTCCACCCTCCCTCCCCCTGCCCTCGGACTCCAGAGCATCCTGGAGCAGTTCAACCCCGCCCTGGAGAACCTGGTGTACCTGGGGAACAACTACCTCCGGGCCTTCCGCGGTGAGTGCCCGGCCCCACCCACGCGATTGCACATTGCACTGTAATCTTTGCACCCCATGAAGCCTTGTCCCTACACACTCCCATGCATCACAGTCACCCTCACGCCCTGCGGCCAGAGACCCCTCACACACCTTCATGTGCCCCTTAGATGCTCCCAGAGATGCAGCGCCTGGCCCCGCGGGCTCACAGGACCTCAACCACACACACTTCTACATGTCACCCCACAGTGCCAGCTGTTGAGCCCACCGCCATACTCAGACCACCTCAGCACCCCTAGTCTGACACCCTGGCCAGCCCCCCATCCACCCACCTACAGCCAAATCTCGCCCCCTGACTCAGTGCCTGTGCAAACAGCTCCCGTCCCCACCATTTCCCAACATCCCCGCCCTACCCCCAGCGCTAATCAGCAGAGGGTTGTGAGCTCTGAAGCAGATGGACAAGCCGGGGGCACACCCAGGGCTGAGCGTCACCCAACCCCTCCCTGCTCTTTAGGACTTTAAAGTCCTCGCACCAGCGACCTGAGCCCATGCCACCCCCACTTTGAGCCTCTACACCTGCGCCTCCTGACACCCCCGCCGACACCCGCCTTCTGACCCACATAGATGCCTGCACCCCCACCCACGGGGTCCTGCCCCCCAGGGAGAGCTCCCACCCCTGCTTCTCCTCTGGCCAAAGCTGCCTCTCCACACACACGCGCGCGCGCGCGCGCGCACACACACACCCACACACACGGCCCAGGCGCCCCCTCCCTCTTCCCCCACCGCACCCCCCCCGCCCAGAGCCCCCCACACTCTCCGACCAAAGGAGAGCCCTCCAGAACGGGGGTGGGGAGCACACAGGGGAGGAGCTGCGGCTGGACGCCTCCCCTTCTGCATGCAGCTCTGTCCGAGGCGGCCGAGGTGTACTTCAAGGCCATCCAGAAGATTGGGGAGCAGGCCCTGCAGAGTTCCACCTCGCAGGTTCTGGGTGAGGCATGCCCCTTCCCCTATCGCTCTGCTGACCTCTGGGGCCTGGGGGACACGCCTCACCGCCCCACCTCCCCACCAACCTCTTCGTGTGGTCCAGGCTCTGCCTCCTGGTGCCTCCCTTCAGGCCGAGGGCCTGCCTTGCCCCCGATTCGCGGGTCCCAGAGAGGGTTCCTTTTACAGCCTGGCTCTTCCAGGAAGTCCTCCCCAAAGACACGGGCCTGGCAGCCCAAGGGCCCAGTGCCCAGACTCTCCTTCTGGAACCCATGCCCCTCCTCAACCCTCCCCGCAGGAGTTCTCCAGGGTAGGACAGGTGCTGCCAGAGTCCCAGAGTCGTGTGGGAAATCCCTGGACTTTGGTCCCCAAACCCAGCTTGGGCAGGCCCTTCTGGTGGGAAGGGGGTGACGGGACAAGCCCCCCCCCAGCTGAAGCCACGGCCCTCCGTGCCTCCAGGTGAGATCTTGGTGCAGATGTCCGACACCCAGCGGCACTTGAATTCTGACCTCGAGGTGGTGGTGAGTCTCAGACCCCGCGGCCTGGTGGGGTCACTCGGGAGAGTGGGCAGCGTTCTGTGGAGGACCAGGGCCCAACCTCCACGCCCTTTCTCAGAGAGGACTCTGGTAACATGACAGCCATGGCTGCCCTTGGGCACCCCTGCCTGGGCCAGGCTCTGCCGGGCACGTTCACCTGCACATCAGCGACCTGGGAGGCAGGTGCATTTCCATCTCCATTTCACAGAGGAGGAAACTGAGTCAGGGATCTAGTCACTCACCCAAGATTCCACAGTGAGTGGAGGAGCCAGGAAGAGAAAGGTCGGTCACCCAGGTGCATCAGGCCCAGGGCTCTGCCCCTACCGGCCTCCCTAACCCCTCCCTCCACTCTCCCAGGGAGCAGCCAGTGATCTGACCTTATCACTCCTGGGAGAAAACGTTTCCACACCCCCGTGACCTGCAGAACTAAACTCAGCCACTTGTAAGGGATTCCTGGCCCTGCTGATCCAGCAGCCTCCCTGGTAACCCAGTCACAGCCCAGACCCTCCGAAGAGCTGCCCTCTTGCCTGGTCTTCCCACCGCAGGCTGCCGTCACACTGTTCTCCAGCTGAGGACCCACTCACCCCAACCCTTGCCAGCCAGCACCGTCGTCCCCTCCTCCAGGAAGTCTTTCCTGATACCTGGGCAAGTTCAGTCTCTCCTCCTCTGGACTCCAACAGATGCTTCTGTCTGTTCTTAGGCTTCCCTGATGGCTCAAGTAGTAAAGAATCCGCCTGCAAGGCAGGAGACGCAGGCTCGATCCCTGAGTTGGAAAGATCCCCTGGCAGAGGAAATGGCAACCCCCTCCAGTATTCTTGCCTGGGAAATCCCAGGGACAGAGGAGCCTGGAGGGCTACAGTCCATGGGGTTGCAAACAGTCAGACATGACAGAGCGAGAACACACACACATCCGTTCTTAGCAAGTGGTGGTGAAGAAAACCAGCTCTGCGCCACAGCACCTGGGTTCAAAGCCCAGCCTCGCTAATTGCTGGCTTTGAGACCTTGGACAAGCTACTTAACCTCAGTGCCTCAGTTTATCTGTCTGTGAAATGGAGATAATAAAAACTGCCTTATAGCATTCTTAGGAGGATAAGTATTAATTATTGACGCTGGCACCTGTAGCCCTCTATGTACCTTAGCTATGATTAGAAGCAGAATTGATGCCCTGTCTTTACCCCTGCCAAGACTGGGAGCTGTGCCAGGGCTGGGATGTGGTCTTCTCTGTAGCTCCAAGGCCTGGGACGGGGACCTGGCATTGAGCAGGGCTTCACTGCCTGGGAAGGAGAGAACAAGCTTTGAAAAGGGAGCAGGGTTGGACCAGAGGGAGAGGAGAAGAGAGGGCCTTCCAGGGGGTGCTGTGGGCTGAGCATGCGCAAAGCATGGCATCTGGCAGAAGAGAGCTGGGGATGGAGCTGGTGGAGAGGAGAGGTGGGTGTGGCTGGGTATGATGGGCCTTGGGAAGCTCAGAAAGAAATTTCAATTAACCGTGACTGCATGGCTCCCAAACGTGTGTGTGGGAAAACACTGGACGTCCAGGTGCAATTTGGGGACACCATGAAATACTCACCAGTTTGATAGCTGTGGCAAAATGGGGAAGAGTTTCACCAGCAGAAAACAAGCATCCATCTCCACTTGATAAAACCGTATCCCTGGCCCATTTCCCAGACACTTTGAGGCTTAGTGCTAAGCCTGTGTCATCTCCCGGGGCTTGGGCGGGGACTTACAGAGCACAGGCCACCCTGGCAGCCTGTGACTTCCTCTCCTTGTGTCTGATGGCTGTCATGTCACTCGTGGCACGCCTGGGCTGGATGGAGATGAGTGTCCCCCAGGCTCGCTCTGTAAGGAGAGCTGCCCTCTTTGGGTACCAGTGTCTCGGCTGTGATAACAAGGCAGGGCCCTCGGCCAGAACCACACTGGGCCCAACACACCAGAGGCCATCTCCCCCTCGGGCTCATTCATTTGACAACTATTCAGCACCCTATGCCAGGCACTGCAATGGGCACTGCGGGGGATACAGCGGACAAAACCCCCTGCTCTCCCCAAGGGGGAGCCAGACAAAACCCAGGACAAATAAGTGAGCATATGTGTGATGGGTTAGATGCAAAATGCACTATGGAGGATAAGAGAACAGGGAAGGGAGTAGAAAGTATTGGAGGGATGTGATTTTTAACAGATATTCAAGACAACAACTCTAGAGAGGTGACTTTGAGAAGAGGCCTGAAGGAGGTAGGGAGTAAGCAGGGGACAACTGCGGGAAGTGTTCAAGGCAGAGGAGTCGGCACACAGGAAGGCTTGAAGAAGCCCGCATGGCTGGAGTGGAGGCATCGAGGGCCAGTGTGGAGATGACCCCTGGCTAACAGGGGCCAGGCCCTGTGGACATTGTCAGGACTCTGGCCATGCCTGTGAGTGTGTTGAGCAAAGGAATGGCAGGATCTGGGCTGTTTTTTTTTTTTTAACCAAAACTTTTTTTATTGTAAACTAAAATAACTCTTTGCTTCCAGTGCTGGGGGCACGGGTTTGATCCCTGGAACTAAGATCCTACATGGCTGTGGCCAAAAAATAAAACAAAATACTGGCACAGAAAATGTCATGGAACAAATTCAAGCTCAGTGAATCATTATCAGGCAGATTGCCTTTGAAACTCCCACCCAGGTCAGGAACTTTGTCAGCCTCCCTGAAGCCCTTCCACAGGTCCCCGTCAAATCACAGGCCCTCTCTTCCTCCAAAAATGACCACTGTTCTGACACTGCCTTGTGTTTCTGCATAACTGATCACCCAGTCGTATGTACCCAGACACTAGAATTTGTCTTGCTCTCTCTCTTTTTTAAAATATGTTCTTGAGTCTCTTTTAATGTCGTGGTTCCTCCACCATCCCTTTCTTGTCCTTACAATTTATCCATCGAAGGACTTGGGGCCTTTTGACTTGGTTTTCTGAACAATCCTGGCACAGCTCAGCTTGTTCCTTTGTTCCCTGGATCCAGAGGATGGCTCAGACTCAGGTTCCATCCATTTGGCATGACTAGAAAGGATGTGTTTTACTCCTTTGCAGTCATTATTTCACTGAAGTTGACAGTGTTCCCTCTTTGACCAACAGCAGCCTCTTCAGTCTGGCACGTGAATTCTTTGGCACAACCCTCATGGTCTGACAGCTTCCTTGCTATCTAGCCTGACAAGATTGTTCTCATCTGGTACTTCTGCTGCTCTGCAAACGGAATCAGTCATCTCTCCATGAAGCCCTTTTAAAGAATTTTTTGCTTTTAGTGGGAAGTGATATTCAAGACCATTATGTACTCACTGGGGGTGTCCATTGCTACTGGGTTCATCACTGTTCCTAGACTTTTTCAGTGGCCAATGCTATACATAAAAACATATGTGTATATAATAGATAGGATACATATGCCTAGATACATACACAGATGCGTGCATACATAGATACATATATACATTTGTACAAACCACATATATATACACACGTATGTATATAAAGATAGAATTCTTCACAATTAATACTGATATTTCCAATGCAGATTTAGCACCAGGTTTTTAGTTAACCTCTTCTCTATTCCACTGGTATCTCTTTTGTTCCACATCAAGAGTCCTGATAGTCAGGAACTCCCTGGCAGTCCATTGGTTAGGGCTCCATGCTTTCATTGCCAAGGGTGTGGATTCAATCCCTGGTCAGAGAACTAAGATCCTGCAAGCTGCGCAATGTGCCTCCCCCCGCACCCCCACAAAAGTCCTGATTCCCAAGCACTCAGAAAAAGAAGAAGAATATCCCACAGTTACCATTTGCTATATCATGTTACATATACACAACAGCCGCTGAATAATGATACTGATTCTACCACCACCAATATGATTTCTGAAAACAGTTAAAATCTGTTTTACATTTGCTCTCTGCAGCCTCCCGCCCCACTTTCAAAGGCATGCTCTGGAGACATTGTGGGTTCTGTTCCAGACCACTGCAAAAAAGCAAATGCCACAATAAAGTGAGTCACATTTTTTGGTTTCTCAGTGCATGTAAAAGTTATGTTTGCACAACACTGTAGTCCATTAAGTGTGCAATAGTATTATGTCAAAAAACCCCACTGTACATACCTTAATTTAAAAGTACTTTGTTGCTAAAAATGTTAGCCATCATCTGAGCCTTCAGCAAGTCACAATTTTTTGTGAGAGTAACATCAAAGATCACTGATCATAGATCACCTTAACAGATTTTGACAATAATAAAAAAAGTTTGACCTATTGAGAAAATTACTAACATGTGACACAGAGACATGCAGTGAGTAGATGCTATTGGAAAGATGGTGCCAATAGACTTGCTCGACATAAAGTTGCCATAAATCTTCAACATGTGAAAAGCACAGTATCTGCAGCTGTGTTCTGTCTACATTGTCAGAACCCAGAGCCACTACACCGTGCCTGCTCCCCTTTCACCCTCACTGATCTTTGTTTACAAGTAGCTATGCTTTTAATATTCACCTCCAACCCCATGTCCATGTCTTGATTGTTGTTTTGGTCTTGTTCTCTGATTGTCCCCACAGGAAGAGCTCATGTGAACAATGTTCTGAGTTGTGACACTGAGATAATAGCTTGTTCTCCTTGTACTGGGGGAAGTCAGTTTTGCTGGATATAAAATCCTTGCCTCACATTCCTTCCTTCCTTCTCTCCATTTTCACTCACTCCCTTCCTCCTCCCCTTTCTTTCTTTCCCCTTTTTCCTTTATCTTTCATCTTGAATGTTGCCACTGAAAAAAAGTCTAATAATCTATATTCTCCACTGTAAATCATTTGCTTTTTTTGCCTTTGTTGTTGTTGTTCAGTCACTAAGTTGTGTCCAACTCTTAGCGAACCCGTGAACTGAAGCCTGCCAGGCTTCCCTGTCCTCCACTATCTCCCAGAGTTTGCTCAAACTCATGTCCATTGAGTCATGAATCATGAGAGATGCCATCCAACCATCTTTTTTACCTTAGATGACCCCAATTTTTTTTCTTTTTCTTAAGTCTAGTTATTTTTCCAGAATATATCTTGATATTAGTCAGTCTTGGACAATATTCTTTGTTATGCGTACTCTTTCAATATATAGTTTGTTATTTTTTTTCTTTAATTTCAGTTTTTTAGAAAATTTTTTGTTCTCTTTCTTTGCATTTCTTTCTCAGGGACTCTTATTATCTGTATGTTATATTAATACCTTCGTAGCCTATCTTCAGTATTGGTCTCTTTCTCTTTCTGAATGGAGCCCAAATAATGTATGGATGAGACTGGAATTTTGGGGAAGGTCTGGGTAGGGGTATCTATCTGGGAGTCAGCAGCCTGTGGACTGCACGAGCTCACCATGTAGACAGAGAAGGGAAGAGGCCCACAGCCTGAGCCCCAGGGCAACTCAACCTTCGGGGACCAGAGAGATGACGGGGAATCAGAAAAAGATGGAGAAGAGCAGTCAGGGGGTGATGCAAGGGAAACAAGGATGGGGCATGGGCTGCAAGCTGAGGGAGGAAGATGTCTCAGGAAGAGGGCGTGTTCAGCCGTGTCTGATGATGATGACAGGAGAAGTTGGGTGCGTCCTTAAAATTGATCATGGGACTTAGTGATGTGGATGGTGATTTTGACAACACTCTTGTTGGTGTAGTTGATGGGGCCATAGCCTGAAGGAGGGTGCTCAAGAGCAAATGGGAGGAGGAGAGTTGTGGTCAGCCCACACAGACAGTTCTTTGAAAGGGGTTTTTCCTGTTTTGATGGATGCAGTTACTGAACTACCTCGAAACATGGAACTTACAGTGCACGTTCGTGACAGCGGGTCTGCTCTCATCTTCTGTATGGAGGAGCTCACAGGACCTGCTAACGGAGCATATCCCATGGGGAGGGGAGCAGGGGACCGCACTCTCTGTTCCGATTTGCTGGGAATTCTCAGCCTGCGCTGGAGTAGGCGACTTCCTTGTTTCAGAAGTACCTGCTTAATTATAGGCAGCCCTCTGGTTCCCCAAGAGCAAGAGCTCAAAGGTCTCTTCAAGTATCAAACTTCTTATTAGATCCATTCTTTAGGAGCTTGATGACGACTTTCCTTTAACCCAGTGGTGCCAGTGCCCTGTCCGATTGAGGCATCCTGGGTCTGTGTCCTCTACACTCTCGGTGATCACAGCCAAGCCCTGGTCATGGGAAGAATTGCAATCCACCTGTCCTGCCCTAACACTCATTTCTGTGGTTTGACTCAGTTCCTATGTGGCTGGAAGCAGAAGGAGCCATATCCTATGACATGGGAGTGGCTTGTTCAGACGTGATGTCTCCTAGTTATGGAGGAGGGGAACAGGGCAAACAGAAATAAGAAGGGGAAAGCCCCCAACTTGTCACTGCACTGACAGCAAGAGCCCTTTAAGCTGTATTTTAAGAACATTTTAAAAGAGCTCCTGCACCCAGGCCTCCCTGGGGAGAGCAAGGCTCCGAGCCTCCCAGGTCTAAGCTGGGAGCAGGTGTCACCGCCTCCCACGCTCCCCGTGGTGACAGCCCAACCGCCGCCTGTGTTGCCTCAGCATGCCAGCTCCGCAGTAATTAAGGTGTTGCCGGTGTGTCCTTTCTGTTGGTCTCGCGCATTTTTAATCTTTTCTGTGGCCTTTGTTGTGGTTCAGGCTCATTCCTCCAGCACCATTCACGGTCTCTATTAGTACTCTGGTTGCCAGGGTTTCAAGGGTCGGCCCCAACCCTGCATCTTCCATAAGCCCTGTTTTTATATTGGGTGGTTTTGCCAGATGTAGGAATTTTCAGGAACAGACATCTTGTGTTTGAGCAGAACCTTGAACTGGGATGTCCTGCAGGTACAGATCAGAAGTCTCCATTCCTTATTGCCTGGATCCAGCAAAAAAGGGCTCCTCTGGGGCAGAAACGGGGACTCAGAGCGGCCTGAAACACTCCCACCCCCAGCACACACACTGCGAGCCACAATCAGGGATGTAAGGCCTGGCCAGCCCCAAGTAGGTCACACCCAAGCTCCCTTATAGACCGGTTAACAAGGTTTCAGAAACAATTGTGGAAGAAACACTGAAAAGTTTTCTAATTTCCTGGCTTTTCTGATTACCAGCATTCCTTTTCCCGAGGGACAGAGCTCCCACAGCACAGCCTGGGGACCCCTGGGGCGGGAGGTGGGATCCCCCGAGGGTTCCTGAGCAGGGCTTCTCCAGGGAAAGGCGGGGCAGACGGAGAAGGCTGAGCAGAGGTGGAATGGTCCCCCAAGGTGGCAGTGGGCAGCCTGAGCCTGAGAGCAAAGGGGGCAGCTGGGAAGATTTAGGTGAAATGTCCCAACAACACCGAGTGACCCAGGGAGCGATGATGGGGGACAAAGGGGAACGTGCCAGCTGATCACCAAGGCCCACAGAATTAAAGTTCACTGGGCTCTAGAGCTGAACTATAGTGAGCATCTGGCCAAAGCTTTCCCATTACAGATGGGGAAACAGAGGCTCAGAGAGGGACAGCAACTCATCCAAAGTTACAGGGCAAATTGGAGGAGGAACTAAAACTTCTAGAATGAAGCTCTTCTGATCCTGAGCCCTATAGCCCTCCTGGTCTTCCTGATCACCCGGGTGGTCAGCCAGCTCCTTCCCACCTGCCATGGGAACCTGCCACCCCTGTGAACAGTTGTGAGCACTTTCACTGGGCCAGGCCCAGCCCATGGTGCCAGGAATACAGAGACGGAACATACCTGTTTCCTGCTACTCCCACAAATGGGGCCATGACCAGGGGCCCAGCAACAAATTCCATCCTGAGGCTGGAGGAATGAACAATGACCAGTGATGTTGTACGCATTCTAGAAACAACATGAAAGAATAATGGCTTCTGCCTAAGGAGTCAGGAGGGCCTCCCAGCAGAGGGGGTAAGGAAGTTGGTATTTGAAGATTGGCAGGCATAATCAAGGCACAGAGAAATGGAAGGTATCGACACATTTATGGAGGGTGTGTTTCAAGCTAGGTACTGCACTAAATATTTTGTATGTTTAACTGTTTAATCCTGCGTCCAACCAGGTCTCTTGTTTTACCCATTTCTCTGATGGTTGGTCAGGAGCCTGGTGTGTCAGGAGCACAGTGAGCAATGGAACACTGGGGCCAGGGGATGATCGGGTCGCCCTGATCAGCCCCACCCTGCACTCCACACAGGTGCAGACATTCCATGGAGACCTGCTGCAGCACATGGAGAAGAACACCAAGCTGGACATGCAGTTCATCAAAGTGAGTCTGGCCACCCATCCTGGCCCCCCTAGCCCATCGCCAGCAGGACTGCCTCTCCCCATTTGACAGATGGGCACACTGAGGCCAGTGCTGGGCACTGACTGGGCCCAGGTTGTACACGTTCCCAGCTGAGCCCCCTGCCCCTGTCCAGCGCTCTGGCCCATAGGCCATGTGCCTTGAGCCCTTGGACACGGGGGTCTCCCTCCTCTCTCCACCCCATCCAAGGACAGCCGCCAGCACTACGAGATGGAGTACCGCCACCGAGCCGCCAACCTAGAGAAGAGCATGTCCCAGCTGTGGCGGATGGAGCGCAAGAGGGACAAGAACGCACGGGAGATGAAGGTGCAGGGGCTAGGGATGACCCCGGGCTTCTCAGGGACCCCCGACACCCACCTGAGCTCCCCCACCCAGCACCGCCCCTACTCCAGGGTTTGCCCCACCCCATGTGGTGAGCATAGCTGGAGGGGTCAGCCGGCCCCTGGCAGGCATCCCTGGTCACAGGGACACCATCAACAGTGCTCCTTGCCTAGTCACTGTGTGGCCCTCCTCGCATTCCCTTGGCTTCCCCGCCTTCTCCTATTTCACTGGGAAAACCTGAGGTCCTCAGTCACGCTGCCCCTAGTCACAGTGCAAAGGCGTAACCCACCAGCAGCCCCGTCACTCTCCCCGCACACACGCCTCCTGCCCCCTGGCTAAGCCCAGCCCCTGCTTCCTAGTCAGGGCCTGCGCCTGGCCTCCCTCTCTAAGACCTCATCTCCTCTCCTGCCTCCTCTCCTGGCTCCTTTACTAAGCTCATCTCTCTCCTCTTTGGAATCTTTTCTCCCAAGCAGGAGGTTATTAATCCATTAATTTGCATTTTCATTAAACCAACTTCCCTAGGCCTCACTTCTGGGCTCAGCCCTGTGCCCTGTTCTGGGGACAGAGGGGTGGCTCAGACACCAGCCCGACCTGGGAGAAGTGCCCTAGGGCTGGAGGGCAGGCAGAACCCAGACTCACAGGAGAGGGCAGGCTCTGAAGGGAGGGTGGGGGCTGGGTGCTCAGGGGAGGCCTCCAGGAGGAGGTGGCTGGTTTGGGAAGGAGAGGGAGGCCTCAGACAGCTGGCACTCGGGGCTGGATGAGGGACCCACCCCTGGCCTCCAGCCAGAATTCCCTTTTCCCCAGGAGAGCGTGAACCGGCTGCACGCTCAGATGCAGGCCTTCGTGTCTGAGAGTCAGCGGGCGGCTGAACTGGAGGAGAAACGACGCTACCGCTTCCTGGCCGAGAAGCACCTGCTACTTTCCAACACCTTCCTGCAGTTTTTTGGCCGGGTGAGCTGGGGCTGGGGAACCACTAATGGAACCTTCTAGGGGCTGTGCTCTCTGTGAGCTGGCAGTGCATTGGAATTCCCCTCCCTCCCTCCCCATCCCCTTCTTTCCTTCCACTCTGTAGATATTAGATATTTACTTTATTTATTCTTTTTCTTTATTTGTAGTCATTCATTTATTGTCTTTTTTGTTTGTTTGTTTGCCACACTGCATGGTATGTAGGATCTTAGTTCCCCGACCAGGGATTGAACCCACGTCCCCTGCATTGGAAGCTTGGAGTCTTAGCCACTGGGACATCAGGGAAGTCCCGATTTCTTTGTGGTCTTGTTTAGTATCTCTTTCCATTTCCTTGCATTCTTCTTTAGTCTTCCATATACTGCACCCTGCCTGCAAATTCATGCAAGTGAGTCTGAGTCTTATTTTCTTATCTGGAAAAGAAGGGAAATAATCGCTCCTGCAGAAGGTTGGCACAAGGGTGGAGCTTGGCATAGGCAGGAGCCCAGTGGGATTAGGGCCTGCTGCCCCTGCTCTCTCCCCTCCAAAGATGAAAACAAAGGCTGCCATTCAGGAGACCCGACTCCTTGCAGTCAGCTGCCCCCAGCAGCCAGCAGCCAACTCCTGCCTCCACCTCAGCGTCCTCACCGTTCCAGGCCCTCTCTGAGTCTCTGTTTCTGAACCCAGGGGCCCTCTGGCGCTGAGCAGAGGTAGGAGACCTGAATGGATCCAGTGACTAATTTCCATTATTTATGTATTTATTTGGCTGCTCCGGGTCTTAGTTGGGGCCCGCGGAATCTTTAGTTGTGGCGTGTGAACTCTTAGTTGCAGCATGTGAGATCTATTAATAGTTCCCTGATCAAGGATTGCTTCCATCACTGGTGCTTCATTCACTGGTGACTGGCGATGGAAGCAAGGTCCGATGCTGTAGAGAGCAATATTGCATAGGAACCTGGAATGTTAGGTCCAAGAATCAAGGCAAATGCAGTTCAGTTCAGTTCAGTCACTCAGTCGTGTCTGACTCTGCGACCCCATGAACCGCAGCACGCCAGGCCTCGCTGTCCATTACCAACTCCCAGAGTCCACCCAAATCCATGTCGATCAAGTCGGTGATGCCATCCAACCATCTCATCCTCTGTTGTCCCCTTCTCCCTCTGCCCTCAATCTTTCCCAGGATCAGGGTCTTTTCCAATGAGTCAGCTCTTCACATCAAGTGGCCAGAGTACTGGAGTTTCAGCTTCAACATAGTCCTTCCAATGAATACCCAGGACTGATCTCCTTTAGGATGGACTAGTTGGATCTCCTTGCAGTCCAAGAGACTCTCAAGAGTCTTCTCCAACACCACAGTTCAAAAGCATCAGTTCTTCGGCGCTCAGCTTTCATTATAATCCAACTCTCACATCCATACATGACCACTAGAAAAAACATAGCCTTGACTAGACGGACCTTTGTTGGCAAAGTAATGTCTTTGCTTTTTAATATGCTGTTTAGGTTGATCATAACTTTCCTTCCAAGGAGTAAATGTCTTTTCATTTCATGGCTGCAGTCACCATCTGCAGTGATTTTAGAGCCCAGAAAAATAAAGTCTGCCACTATTTCAACTGTTTCCCCATCTATTTGCCATGAAGTGATGGGACTGGATGCCATGATCTTAGTTTTCTGTATGTTGAGCTTTAAGCCAACTTTTTCACTCTCCTCTTTCACTTTCATCAAGAGGTTCTTTAGTTCTTCTTCACTTTCTGCCATAAGGGTGGTGTCATCTGCATATCTGAGGTTATTGATAATACTTCTGGCAATCTTGATTCCAGCTTCTGCTTCCTCCAGCCCAGTGTTTCTCATGATGCACTCTGCATATAAGTTAAATAAGCAGGGTGACAATATACAGCCTTGATGCACTCCTTTTCCTATTTGGAACCAGTCTGTTGTTCCATGTCCAGTTCTAACTGTTGCTTCCTGACCTGCATACAGGTTTCTCAGGAGGCAAGTAAGGTGGTATGGTATTCCCATCGCTTTCAGAATTTTCCACAGTTTATTGTGATCGGCACAGTCAAAGGCTTTGGCATAGTCAATAAAGCAGAAATAGATGTTTTTCTGGAACTACCTTGCTTTTTCAATGATCCAGTGGATGCGGCAATTTGATCTCTGGTTCCTCTGCCTTTTCTAAAACCAGCTTGAACATCTGGAAGTTCACGATTCACATATTGCTAAAGCCTGGCTTGGAGAATTTAAGCATTACTTTACTAGCGTGTGAGATGAGTGCAACTGTGTGGTAGTTTGAGCATTCTTTGGCATTGCCTTTTTTTGGATTGGAATGAAAACTGACCTTTTCCAGTCCTGTGGCCACTGTTGAGTTTTCCAAATTTGCTGGTGTATTGAGTGCAGCACTTTCACAGTGTCATCTTTCAGGATTTGAAATAGCTCAACTGGAATTCCATCACCTCCACTAGCTTCATTCGTAGTGATGCTTCCTAAGGCCCACTTGACTTCACATTCCAGATGTCTGGCTCTAGGTGAGTGATCACACCATTGTGATTATCTGGGTCATGAAGATCTTTTTTGTACAGTTCTTATGTGTATACTTGCCACCTCTTCTTAATATCTTCTGCTTCTGTTAGGTCCATACCATTTCTGTCCTTTATTGAGCCCATCTTTGTATGAAATGTTCCCTTAGTATCTCTAATTTTCTTGAAGAGATCTCTAGTCTTTCCCATTCTATTGTTTTCCTCTATTTCTTTGCATTGATCACTGAGGAAGGTTTTCTTATCTCTCCTTGCTATTCTTTGGAACTCTGCATTCAAATGGATATATCTTTCCTTTTCTGTTTTGCTTTTGGCTTCTCTTCTTTTCACAGATATTTGTAAGGCCTCTCAGACAGCCATTTTGGATTTTTGCATTTCTTTTTCTTGGGGATAGTCTTGATCCCTGTCTCCTGTACAATGTCACAAACCTCTGTCCATAGTTCATCAGACACTCTGTCTATCAGATCTAGTCCCTTAAATCTATTTCTCACTTCTACTGTATAATTGTAAGGGATTTGATTAAGGTTGTACCTGAATGGTCTAGTGGTTTTCCCCACTTTCTTCAACTGAAATCTGAATTTGGCAATAAGGAGCTCATGATCTGAGCCACAGTTAGCTCCCAGTCTTGTTTTTGCTGACTAGATAGAGCTTCTCCATCTTTGGCTGCAAAGAATATAATCAGTCTGATTTTGGTGTTGACCATCCGGTGATGTCCATGTGTAGAGTTTTCTCTTGTGTTGTTGGAAGAGGGTGTTTGCTATGACCAGTGCGTTCTCTTGGCAAAATCCTATTAGCTTTTGCCCTGCTTCATTCTGTACTCCAAGGCCAAATTTGCCTGTTACTCCAGGTATTTCTTGATTTCCTACTTTTGCATTCCAGTCCCCTATAATGAAAAAGACATCTTTTTTGGGTGTTAGTTCTAGAAGGTCTTGTAGGTCTTCATAGAACCGTTCAACTTCAGCTTCTTCAGCATTACTGGTTGGAGGATAGACTTGGTGATATTAATGGTTTACCTTGGAAATGAACAGAGACCATTCTTTCGTTTTTGAGACTGCACCCAAATACTGCATTTCAGACTCTTTTGTTGACTATGATGGCTATTCCATATCTTCTAAGAGATTCTTGCCCACAGTAGTAGATATAGTGGTCATCTGAGTTAAAGTCACCCATTCCAGTCCATTTTAGTTTGCTGATTCCTAAAATGTCGACATTCACTCTTGCCATCTCCTGTTTGACCACTTCCAATTTGTCTTGCCTTGCCACTTCCAATATTCCAATATTCCAAAGAATAGCAAGGAGAGATAAGAAAACCTTCCTCAGTGATCAATGCAAAGAAATAGAGGAAAACGATAGAATGGCAAAGACTAGAGATCTCTTCAAGAAAATTAGAGATACTAAGGGAACATTTCATACAAAGATGGGCTCAATAAAGGACAGAAATGGTATGGACCTAACAGAAGCAGAAGATATTAAGAAGAGGTGGCAAGTATACACATAAGAACTGTACAAAAAAGATCTTCATGACCCAGATAATCACGATGGTGTGATCACTCACCTAGAGCCAGACATCTGGAATGTGAAGTCAAGTGGGCCTTAGGAAGCATCACTACGAATGAAGCTAGTGGAGGTGATGGAATTCCAGTTGAGCTATTTCAAATCCTGAAAGATGACACTGTGAAAGTGCTGCACTCAATACACCAGCAAATTTGGAAAACTCAACAGTGGCCACAGGACTGGAAAAGGTCAGTTTTCATTCCAATCCAAAAAAAGGCAATGCCAAAGAATGCTCAAACTACCACACAGTTGCACTCATCTCACACGCTAGTAAAGTAATGCTTAAATTCTCCAAGCCAGGCTTTAGCAATATGTGAATCGTGAACTTCCAGATGTTCAAGCTGGTTTTAGAAAAGGCAGAGGAACCAGAGATCAAATTGCCGCATCCACTGGATCATTGAAAAAGCAAGGTAGTTCCAGAAAAACATCTATTTCTGCTTTATTGACTATGCCAAAGCCTTTGACTGTGCCGATCACAATAAACTGTGGAAAATTCTGAAAGCGATGGGAATACCATACCACCTTACTTGCCTCCTGAGAAACCTGTATGCAGGTCAGGAAGCAACAGTTAGAACTGGACATGGAACAACAGACTGGTTCCAAATAGGAAAAGGAGTGCATCAAGGCTGTATATTGTCACCCTGCTTATTTAACTTATATGCAGAGTGCATCATGAGAAACACTGGGCTGGAGGAAGCAGAAGCTGGAATCAAGATTGCCAGAAGTAATATCAATAACCTCAGATATGCAGATGACACCACCCTTATGGCAGAAAGTGAAGAAGAACTAAAGAACCTCTTGATGAAAGTGAAAGAGGAGAGTGAAAAAGTTGGCTTAAAGCTCAACATACAGAAAACTAAGATCATGGCATCCAGTCCCATCACTTCATGGCAAATAGATGGGGAAACAGTTGAAATAGTGGCAGACTTTATTTTT